TTTAGGGTTTTGGGTTTTAGGGTCTTAGGGTTTAGGGTTCAGGTTAAGGGGCTTATATAGGGGATTATATAGGGCTTTAATATCCCAATATTGGAGAATCAAATGGAAAAGAAGATGGAAAATCAAATGGAAACTGCAATATATATATATATAGGGTTATGTCATGTGGGAGTTATATGAGCTATAGTCAAAACTACTCCCCGACACTATACCCTATACAACCCCGTTTAAGAATTGAGACTGTGGCTCATCTAGGATTTAATGTGAAGGGTTAATTTGGGCTTTTAGGTGTTATGGTTTCTACCCGAAGCCCTAAACCCTACGCCCCAATATATAGTACTATAACCCTAATAACCTGTGTGGGGTAAGAAGCAGGTCGACTTTAGGTCTGAGCCGTGTTATGAAGCGAGCTTTACACGTCCGCTTTCTGCTTCAATGTGCTGTTCACACTGCTTTGGACATGTATGGCTCTCCAGGTTTATGGACACACTCCCACCCTCCAGCTGAAACTGCTGAAGCGATATGGGTTTTAGGGTGTTCAGGTGTAGAGCTCAGGATTTAGGGTTTAAGCTTAGGCCTATGGGTGCAGGGCGCTTTTGTGGTCATGGCTGTGCGGCCTTCCGGACCTGCTCCAAAAAGTCCTCGCGGCCTGTCAGGGAGTCTGTTGCAAAGGACAAACCAAGCTTCCATATCTTGGCGCCATCAAGATACACTGGCCCAAAAAATAACCCTCTGCCTGGCTGTCTGTTCTTTGTACAAGGCTTGTTGTTGGGTTTGGAGGATGCTCTTGTCATTGTTGTGGCTAGATGTGGTAAGGGGCGTCTGTATCTACCTTTCATGCTCCTGCCTGCGCACATTGACAGCAGCTCCTCTGACCGATTGGACTTGAGCAAGGCCTAAGTGCCAAGTCTCCGCCACTGCTGTCAATGCTTGCTGCAGCCCACCAAGCCCTGGTTGATCCCGAAAATACAAAGCAAAGCTCTTTAGCCACAGCTCCAGGCGGAGAGGCTGTGGCCATCTCACCCTGTAAATCTCAAGCCGGCAAGTCCCTACATCGCCTACGCCCAAAAGTTCTACCCTTTGCCAAGGGACGCGGCTGATGGCATCCAGCGCTCCCTGCTCGTTCTCCAGGGCGCGTCGGTCGGTGCAGCGCTGCATGAAGACTACCAATCGCGGGGCGAAGGGCTCTTCCTCCGCGACGTCACGGTTGCAGGGAGTTGAGGCTTTTGGATGCAAACGGTTTAAGGTTGATCTGTTGTAGCATCTTGACATTCCAACATACTATAACATACAATAGTATTCTAGTATATATATATATATATCATAACATATTACAGTATATTGTAGTATGTTATTGTATATTATAATTTATCATAATATATTACTGGACCCCTTTCCCCGTGTTTTCTTCTGCAATAGTTGGAGAACGCCGCTTTGGAGTGGAGCCATGCCAAGTTGGTCAACCCTGAACACCCCCAAAAGAGCGAGCGATGTCCCACAAGAAAAATCTTAAAATATGGTGTACATTAAAATATATTCTTATACTATAGTATAGTATAGTATATTCTTTATACCATACTATAGTATGTTATTCTTCTATATTCCTGTGTAATAAGAGTATACAAATAGTGAAATAAAAGCAATAACGTCTTCCCAATCCGTATGAGCTATATATAGTCTAAACTCCAAGTATTCCCCTTAATAACCCCTATAATGATGCCCTATATAACCCCCTTCCAGGAGTTGAGATTATAGGTCATATCTAGGCTGCATGATCCACATAATCTTCAGGGCTGAAACTACGTGAACATTGAGACCAGCTGCCACAAAGCCATTGTGCCGCGCGATAGCCTCTGAGATTTTCGGGCCCACCTGGGAGCACGCTAATACGAGCTATATTCTAAACTCCGAGTAACATCCCCTGCAGTAGTCTCCTATATCATCCCCTTTATAACCCCCTTCAACAAGCTTAGACTATAGCTCAGAACCTCCGCACGTCACAGAACTCAGGGTTTGAGATTCACATTTTGCAGGCGGTTTGGTGCTAAGTCCAGTGGTCTGCACATGTCAGCATCAGAAGCCCAATAAGAACCCAGGGAACCCAAGACCCCTTCATCAAGGAATATGCCTAAAATCATGTTAGGAATCTTAACAGTATTTAAGTTGGTTCATTCCCCCTTACAGTAACTGTTACCACAATGGGTTATAGGAGTTATAAGAACCCCCTTAAAAAGGCCCCTTCAAGGACAGTTACTGGGAGGGGGAATGACCCAAGGTATATTCCTTATCTAAGGGGTATTGGGCCCAATAAGGATGCCCACACCGATCAGCCTGCAGGTCGATGAGCCGGTGCCAGAGGTCTCCATCGACCCGACCTTACAAACCCCAAACCCCAGACCCCAAACCCTACACCCTAAACCCTAGGTAGTAGTTTCCATGTTCTTTTCCATTATCCCTAGATAACTCTATGTTATTATACCCCCTATATTACACCCCAAACCCTAAACCTATCCAGGGTTTGCGAGCAGGGGTTGAAGCATTCCGTATGTAGGGTGTCAGCATGGACGTGTTGAGTTTGTAGGGCTTAGGGTCGTGGGATCAGAGATTACCAGGCTGCTGTTAAGCAACTTAGCTTAAGTTACTATCTTGGGCAAAACCTATTGTTTGCTAAATATATATATATATGTATATACCGACCCATTATGGTAACTTAGTTTAGATTCCTTAACGGCAACCCAGACTAGGAGCAGGGTTGGGGGCTTCATGCAGAATTTCGGCCTTATCTACCGATCGCAGTGTATGCTTTCAGACTCCTTCTTTTTCAGGCTTGGCGAAGAACCCTGAAGCTTCTGCCACAGGAGAGAAGACTTGTCTGTCAGTTTAGGGGAAACAGAAATAGACAGCGTCTTCTAACATCCCTCAAAGGCACTTTTATCTTACCTTTGCTTAGCTAGGAGCGAAGGAATGCATCCTAATAGTAGTCCCTATATAACCAATTATAGTAGCTTCCATTTGCTTCCATTCCTTCATTCCCAACTAACCACAGGTAAGTTATTCAGACATCCCTGAAGAGTGCACTTCTTCCCAAGATCGCCTCCCTCTCTCCTTAGCCAGTGCGGGCCCTTTAGACTAATCCTGCTGTGAAAGCGGATCTTCCTGACATCCCTGGACTCACCTAAACTCCGAAGCTGAATCCCTGTAGCCAGTTTCCATTTCATTTGAAATTTGATGTTCCCTTTGATTCTCCATTCTGAGGGGGTACAATACCCGCTCAGAATTGGGAAGCCCCATGTGCTGCAGAGCCGCGATCCTGGTAAGGATGGGTTGGCAGTTCCCCAGAGGTACCGCTGACACGCCACAAATGCATGGTCCGACCCTTTCTCGCACACAGCAGCAGCGCGGGTCGTTCCTCCGTCAGGGGAATTTCCAGGATCTGCTCCTTACGTAGCAGTGGCGCATTGTTCCTCAATCCATTCCTGACACTCCCCTAGCATGCCCTTTAATAAGCCCGCTTAATCACCTCTATAAAACTCCCTATATAATCCCATATGTAACCTCTTCAAAGAATTGAGACCCTAAACACTAAACCCTATATAACCACCTTTTAAGGAGTACCCCTGCATGCTGGCCAGGGCTCTTTGGGAAAGCCCAAACTGGCCAACAGACTGCTCTGAAGCGAAGAGTGGACCACCAGCTTCCTTGCACTTCTCAACAGTCTCAACATGACACTCTCCTAGTATCCCCCTTAATAACCCCTTTTCTAATCCCCTATAACCCCAAGAGCCAAACACTTCAAAAGCAGGAGTCGCTAGCGCTTCCCAGCACTCACCGGAAGCTCATGGCAAGGCTACTTGAAGGCTTGGCTGCTGGGCCCAACATTTTGTCATAAAATTGGTCATAGGATTCTCAGAGGGGGAGGGTGGGGCGGGGGGCGCCTTACATGGGAGGCGATGGATGTCGCATGATGTTTCCATGGTGTCGGCAAGGACCTTAAACCCTTTTGCCTACTTCCATTTTGCTCGTGTGCAGAATCTTTGTGCATGGTGTGCACCAAGGACACCTATAATCCCTACATGACCCCTTTATAGTAGTTTCCATTTTCTTTTCCATTATCCCCATTTATAAGCCCCAAAATACTATACAGTAGTCCCAATATAACCCCTACACGTAGCAAAGCATTAGGGCCCAACCCAGTCAAGCTCAGCTGCAGTCGCATTGGACAGACCTTTCAAAGCTCCACACTCAGCAACCCGAACTGTCGAAACTCCAGTTCCCTGAAGTCCTGTCCCTAAGCCCTGAACCCAGGCTGAAGTCGGAGTTGTTCAACCAATTTGGGTCCCCTATGGTCCCCGGATATCGACCCCAGTCCCGCCCATTAAGTAAGGAGCAGACAAGGAAAGCCATGACATCCGGTTACATCTTTCAGACATAGGTTCGTGGAGGAGTTCCACAGCATGTCAAGCACTGTCCAGGCCGGCGGTAGGAAGTCGATGATTGCGTGCTGGTACCCCATCCTCACTCTGTTGGTTTAGGGTTTAGGTCTTAGAGTTTAGGGTTTAGGTTTTAGGTGCTTGAGCATGAACACGCGGGGGTGAGTGAATGCCATGTAGCTCCGGGCACAGCTTTTCAAAGACACGAGAAAGCTTGCCGAAAAAAAACGCATGCTGTTTGATAGATATACGTATTCTCCTAAACACACTGAGGATGAGGGTAGGGTTTAGGGCACAAATGAGACTGCATCCATCATGAAATTCACACGCCAAGACGCGAACAACAAATCTCACATCTTACCATGCACCACCTTACTGGCAGATAGCAGGGAATAAGGGAATAGAATCCCTATATAACCCCATTATAATATGTTCAAGTTCCACCCTAAACCCTAAAACTAAACACTAATTCCATTATAGTATGTTCAAATTCCACCCTAAACCCCAAACCCCATTATCATATATTCAAATTCCCTTATTCCCTTCCAACCCCCAGTAAGCCGCATCAATGCCCAAGGAGTCCTGGCTCCAGCTTTAAGGTGTCAGATTTTCAATCCAAAACAAGAGAGCCTCTGGCCCCATGCGGAAACTGCAGGGTTTAGGGTTTAGGGATTTTCTTTTAAGGGTTTAGGGTGTGTGGGGGCGCTGACGATTCCATTGGAACTACCTTGGACACCAAACCCCACCCAAAGCGCCTGATACCCTCAAGCCAGATCATGCTGCCTTAAAGGCGCTGAAACCCTAGACCCTGAAACCTGAAACTCCTTCAATCCCAAAACCCAAAACACCTAAACCAAAAACCCTATACTCTAAACCCTAAACCCCTAAACCCCAATATTTTAGTAGTTTCCATTTTCTTTTCCATTCCCCCTATATAACCCCTAAACCCTAAACCCTAAACCCCTAAACCCTCAACCACTCACCTCCAAAACCAAGACCCTGAGACGCAGGCAGGTGGCCCGGGTGGCAAGCGGATGCTTGGCAGTACCAGCCTTCAGCAATGCAAGAGGCATTCACAAGTTTAGGGTTTAGCGTCTAGGGCTGAGAGTTAGGATTTAGGGTTTAGGGTTGAGGGTCTGAGGGTTTGAGGGTTTAGGATTTCAGGTTTAAGGCTTTTGTGGCGACCCCGTTTGATCAGGGCTTTGCGTTTGGGAGTTGAGAGCCGAGGGTTTCTTCAAGGGTTAGGGCTTAGAGCTTAGGTTGAGGCTACGATGTGATTCGAGAAAACCCTGGTACTGCACAGGAATTCCTCTGCAATATACTATAGCGTCACATCATTCTAGTAACATCTAGAACCGTATAATGTACTAGAATACCTATACAAGATAACGACATGAATTATAACACACTACAGCATAGCATAGCAGAGCACGAAGGATTAGAGTATAGAGTGTAACAGCTGATTCTAGTGCCTAGTGTCACACAAGTGAAAAGCATAATACACAATGCAGCACAAGACAAAGAAAGTCCTATTGCATAACATAGACAGGTTATTCTCAAAATTATGGACCCCTTCCTGTTCTAGATTACATTACGGCACCTAATATTTAGGGGTAACGAAACGGGACCCTATTTTTTGGAACTACCCATATGAGCTATATTCCAAACTCCTGGTATCCCCTCGATAACCCCTATAGTAATCCCAGATGTAATCCCCTATATAACCCCCTATATGACCCCCTTTAAAGAGTTTACCCTAATCTTGGGAACAACTCAAATAACAGGATAAGACATGACAAGACCATAAGGCCAGGTAGCATGTCCTGGTCTACCACTTGCCTGGGATAGATTCAGAAGCTCTAAAAAAAGAGGTTCTTATGTGTTCTATAAAACTATATATAAGGCGTTATAGCTATATACGGTTATTTCAAGTGAGATAAGGTTATATAGGGACTCTCCTCCCCAATAACCAGGGCTAAAAGTTTACTTTGTTATAGAGACCCAAAGAGGAAGCCCAAAAAGATTAAAGTTCTTCTATTGCCTAAGTAAAGGGATTGTGGTCCATAATGCTTAGAAAATTTTCCGAGAATACATCAGTTGCGTGGGCAGCTGATGCCAGAACTCCTCCTGCTGGCAACTCTCCGGACAGTCCCTGATCAGGCCAAGCAGGAGGGGGGTAAACCCTAAACCTTAAACCCTAAAACCTAGGGGGAGAGGTGGGGGGGGGCGTTGAGTGCACGACCTCAAGCCGTCTAAAACCACCCAAAAAAAAACTGAACTAAACTCTAAACACCTCTGAACACCAAAGTTCCTAAAAACTATGCACCAAGCTACTTGAACCCTGACTGCCAAAACTCACCCTGAACCTTCAACCCAGCCATGCTCCCTGGGCTTTCTGGATTGCTCTCAAGGAGCTTAAGTTAAGTGAGTTTAGGGTTCAGGGATAATGGAAAATACAATGGAAACGAATATATAGTATATTGGGGCTATATAGGGAGAATGGACAAGAAAATGGAAACTACTATATAGTATACTGGGATTTTATGAGGATTACGGAAAAGAAAATCGGAACTATTACAATGGGGTTTAGGTATACAAATGAAACCCATTCTTCAGTACATACCCATATTCTGGAAAGTAAGACCCTAAACCCTATATACCCATATTATAGTAACTTAGTTTAAGTTCCTTAACAGTAACCCAGCTTTTGGCCTGTGCAGGTACTGGCCATGGCTCGCGTTCGCGGCCAATGTCACTCTGATCGTCCTCCACCGCCTTTGCCTCAGCTCAAGGTGAGCTAGGTTTAGCGTTTAGGGTTTAGGGTCTAGGGTTTTGGGTTTTGGGTTTGGGTTTAGGGTTTTGGGTTTAGGGTTGGTTGCCAACCTTGGTGCCTTTTCGGGGATCCCAATTTTATCACGGCCGCTAATCATCAGGGCACACCAAAAGGAACCGCCCTATGATACTTCGAAGATCCTGAAAGCCAGCAGCGACACACTACAAAAGAGTTCACGAGCACATCGAGTCCAGCGCCGTGCCCAGGCGCCCTGAAACCTGACCTGAAACGGAAAGACAACGGACACCTTCCTCAGACTTTCAGCCTCACGCTGCGCCCTGAATGAAATTCACTCTGTCCAAGTCGAGTGGCATGTTAATGCATCCTCCCTCCAAAGGTGCCAGTTCTGTGTTCAGGCTTCTGGCTGGGTCGGTTACGAAGTAATCCCTGCCATCTCCGCAGGCATACTTGGCATACGCATCCAGCAAGGACTGGTTGCCTGAGCTGGTTCAATGGCATCTTTCATCCTTAATCTCTGTATGCAAGCCGGCATCAAGACACGACTGAAGAAGGGCTCTATGGGGCCCCACGCAAGCCACCGACAAGTTCTAAATCAATTCGTGCAGCAAAGGTGCGCGACACCATGGTTGGAAATCTCCCCCCAATGTTGCTGCAGGCAGGGTTCACTTGAGGCTCCATTGCAGGAAAGGTTTGTAGCACGCGCCACTTAAGTTCCTTGTGGCTTGATAACAATGCAGTCTTGAAGCTCTGGAAGTGCGCCTGAGGTCAGGCGGCATCTAGCGAAACACCAAGATGTCGAGGATGTTGAAGCCCCCCTTCTGCGTTCATAAGGGAGATTATATGGGGGATTATATATAGAGGAATAATTTAGGGGGTTATGTAGGGGATCGTATATAGAGGATTATGTATTACATCGGGGCTCCTAAACCCTAAACCCTAAACTCTAAAACCCTAAACCCTAAACCAATATTTTAGGGGTTAGTAAGGGGATACTGGGAGCTTCCAAGCTGCTGTTTGCTCTTCCGTGGCCAACTCAACGTTCTGAAAGAGCGATCGGGCAGACCTTCTGGCACTAGGAGTTATGTAGGGGTTCTATAGAAATTATGTGGGGGTTGTGAAGGGTTATGTAGCGGCTATGTAGGGTTTATGTCGGGGTTATAGAGGGATTATTTGGGATTCTATAGGGGATATATTGGGATAATGGAAAATAAAACGGAAACTGCTATTAAGGGCTTAGGGCGGACCTTATGGCACTAACCAACGTGCGACAGCTGGCGGCCAGATCCCTAGCCCTTTACTACTAATAATAGCACAAGTAAAATTTCCAATGATGCTAATAATACAAACAAGAATACCAATAGCGATACTAATAATACTACTAATGCTAATGATAATACTATTCAAACGCCCAAAAACCCACTACATGTGCGGCTGAGGGGCTGGATCAGCGAAACCTCTTCGCAGCGTTCACCTCATCGCGACAATCGCAACAAAATGATGAAATGCCTAAGTGGCTGAATCCACAAGGCTGTAGTCCCCCTTAAGTAGATAGAATATGGCTTTAGGTATGTTATAATGAGATTCCCAATACACCGCATATTCCATCTACTTAAGGGGGACTATAACCAAACCCTAAACCCTAAATAGTAAATTCCATTTTCTTTTCCATTATCCCTATAGAACCCCAATAGACTATAGTAGTTTCCATTTTCTTTTCCATTATCCCTATGGAACCCCAATAGACTATAGTGGTTTCCATTTTCTTTTCCATTACCCCTACACAACCCCAATATACTATAGTAGTGTCCATTTTCTTTTCCATAATCCCTATAGAACCCCAATAGACTATAGTAGTTTCCATTTTCTTTTCCATTCCCCTATATAACCCCAATATACTATAGTATCCATTTTCTTTTCCATTATCCCTATATAATCCCAATATACTACAGATTAGTTTCCATTTTCTTTTCCATTATCCCTATATAGCCCCAATATACTATAGTAGTTTCCATTTTCTTTTCCATTCCCCCTATATGCCAAAGGCCGCTTCCTTGGGACCCCCAAGACCTGGTAAGCGTGAGCTTGCTCAGCTAAGGCAGCTGAGTAGTTTTTTTTGGTGGTTGAGTTTAGTAAGTTTTATTCCTTATATGAAATACTATACCCCAAAGGGAGGATAGAATCTTACTCTATAATGGTAACCATAGTACCCCCAAGTAAAATACTACTCAGCTAAGGCTCTTTCAGCTTCCGCATCGTCCCAGCAGTCTGTGGCAGTGACTGCCAAGGCAGAAACGACCAACAGCTGGAGCATGGGGCCCAAGGCCACCGATGTCTTGTGCATGGCGGCTGGGCAACTAAAGCATGTCAGTTTAGAGGGTGAAGATGCAAAGCGTGCTGGAGTCTATAGAGCGCATATGCTTGCACATGACTAGAAGGTACATGAAGCATTTTTCCGGCCCACCTGCGCTTGAAAGCAGGGCCATCAAAAATGCCCAAACATGAAGCCTGCTTTTAGATCCTAACAAATCCTGATCTTTGAGCCCTCTGCCTCGGCAGCACACCCAGCCTGACACCATGAGGGTTAATCCCTTCCCCCTATCACTAAACCCCCCACCCCTAGGGTCTAGCAGGATTTAGGGTTTAAGATATGAAAGCCTCCTTAATATTAAATACTCCCGTTACGTGGTATGGTATACTACATTGGGAGTATTTGATGTTAGGGGGGTGCGGGGTTAATATTAGGGGGAGAGGATTAATCTTCATGTGCCCAAAAAGGACTCGGACAACCCAAGACTACAATGCCTGAATGCCCCACAGTTTAGGGTTTAGGGTTTAGGGGGACACAAGATCCTACCAAGTCTGCCATCACACCACATCATTAGCAAGGGAAAGGTCTGTCAGGAAACATCCGAGCACCACAAATCCTTGCATGTGTTCCTGTGATAACAGCCAAATTACCCCTGAAGCCCAAGCCCACCTTAAATGCCGAATGCTGGCCTTGCATGGGCGCCACCGCTCTGGGTTTCGGACAGCCTTCAAAGGACTTTGCCGCTGCCAGTGTGGGGAGGATCCAAATTCAATGAATGCCTGAAAAGCAACACATGAGATCTCAGGATCATTGCACTTTGATACAGTGGCTGGACATTTTTGTTGGATCTCAACGCTGTCTGCGCAAGGGCGGAGCCCTTTACACACTATCTACTTCAGACAATCTGTGCACGGCAAATCCTGCAAGGGGACGTGCCACTGCTACTGGGCCGTCTCCCTGCGCTCTTGCCAAAATGCTGGGTCGCTCTCTCTGTGACTGTAGCACTCCTGGCAGGTCTCTTGTGAGACATTGAACAAGATAAGGTTTCGGCGGAAAACCTCCAGTGCGGCGGCATACACCACTTCGTCAATGTCGTCGTGCCAGCCTTCAAGCTGCGAGGTGTCGTAGTCTTTGTCGGCACTCTTCCCCGCAAAGCTGGGCCTCGTGTCTGCGAACTCAAAGGCATGGCATGATCCTCCAAACATCTTGTGAAAGAGGCAGATTGACAAGTCCCACTCCTCTGTGAGGCCTACGAAGGCGAAGCCCTCGCGGACCCTCCGCGCGGCCTCAGCGGCATCCTGGCGCGTCATCTGGGGCCGGCGCGGATCCAAAGTATGGGCGGTCGGGTGTTCGCTCACAAGCTGGAACGTCATGCCACCCTTCCACGTCTCGGCAAACTCTGAGAGCGGTCTCTTCGGCAATTCCCCCAGGACCCCACCCCAGCACTTTGTGCCGAGATCTCGGCTGTAGATGTCATCTGGGTAGGATGCAAAGTTGTTGGCATCATCATGGTAGCCAGAAAGGATGCGCTGATCCGGATCGCGGAACATTCCCACCAAGTGGCCCTGCTGGGCGGAGTAGTTGGTTACAGGGAGGTGCGCGCGGAGCGGCTGCGGGCAGGTATACTTGCCGGTATGGCACACACGCAAGCAATCAGTCTCAAGCCAACAGGCCAACCAGCAAACGCCGCCGGCGACCGTGTCTTCGTTGAGGGCGCGATCGGCCAAAGATGGGCAAGTGTCGGGCAGGTGAACGAGGGTGTTAATGAAGGAGCTGCCGCACTTTGGGAAATGAATCCAGGTTAGCGGCTGAGCTTCTGTGAGGCGCTGTTCTGCCGTGCCTTCAAGGGTGAACTTGTGCTGGAGCAGCTGCATTTCCGTTGCCTCGGGGACCCCATGTTGTCTCAACGCCACGGAGATTGCAGGGAGCGTCACTGACAGGAAAAGAGTCAGCATGGCTCGCACGGAGAAGGGTCGCACCGTGCGGGAAAGTCCCCTACCTATGAACGGTTCGGCTTCGAGCTGGCATGTCGCGGCCAAGGGTTACTTTGTTCTGGTACAATCTGAGGGTGCATGACAGTGTCCTGCACCTCCCTGGAACTCTGATCGCAGTGTCCCATTGCCCATCTGCCAAGACTTCCTAAATAATTTGAACGGTCTAGGCACCCGCACGAAACCTGCGCACGCATCAAAATGACATGGGCGCCCGAAAACCGGCATTCTTTTGTTGCAGCATCAACTGCAGAGCTTCATGGATACTGCAGTCCAACAAACAACTCGCATCGGGGCAATGAACACTAAACCTGACTTACATGTGAAACCCAACTGGTGCGGTTTGGCCTCCAAAATTTTGGGGATTGTTCAACACTTCGTACCAACTTCTTGTTGCAAAATAGTGAAGCTCCCGGTTGTTCGGACTTCACGCTGTTTGTCAACTAGCTGTGTCAGATGGCAAGAGTTTTGACCATAGGGAGCATGCATGGGATGTGGGATTTCGGTTGACAGGTGATTCCCACTCATTTGGCAAGCCTTGCAGTTAGGTTGCTGTGCTTGTAGCTCTTCCGGATGTCGCTATGCCTCTGGAATCTACGCCTGTATCTTTTCAGAGGTGCATGAAACGTCTTCCCTTTTATGCCTTGAAACTACCTTCGGAACTCAATGAAGCTCCGCTGAGACCTTTCACGTATGAAACAGGGAGCCAAATCCATCCCGTCGTGCTGGGCGCCCAAGCCTCGCCAAACAGATGGAATGAAACAATGCCTTCGCTAGCATTGCCCCGGTAGAGACCCCAAGCTCTTTCAACTTCCAAGTTCCGAACAATGCGTCAAAAGCATCTACCGGCATGTCATGCGCCTTCGTGCGATGAGCAGTGCAGGTTCAGTCCTCCAACTGCATGCATGGGTTTGCCAGGGTGGCGGGGTGCTTGCATCGCAGGGACTAGAGTAGTCTGCCTGTCATGTCCGTGCTTCATTTGAGCCATAGTCTGAACTGCCTTAAAAACCTCTGTGGTAGTCCCCTATATAATCCCCTATATAACCCCTTTTAATGAGTTTAGACTATAGCTCATTTGAGGAATTAACAAACCTTCACACTCGATTCTTTGCACAAATCAACATTGGATCAACTTGCATGCAACTGTCAGGTCACGATTTCCAGGCCATTGTTTGTCAGGCAGGGCTATACGACACAAACCATGAAACGTCCATGCCACACACCTGGATTTTCATGCCAGTTAACGAATCTCCACATAGAGGTACAATTCAGTTTGTTCCCATTAGGCTATGATGCCCCGAAGACAAGCGGACAAGGATGTAAGCGTCGTGTTGACTGTGTCGTACTGGATCCGGCATCACTTGTCCACCCTTTCAAGAGCCGCTGTAGCATTGTGTTTCAATTGCTCGCATCTGATTTCTGGCGGCCAAATACTTGCATCTGTATGTCCATTAGAATTTCATTCAGTCAGCTATTGCGCCAGATGCTGGTGATTTCAGCCACCACTTGATGGCCAGCTATTGCATGCTCTAACTTCACGAAAGTCCACCATCATACTGCATACCCAAAACTTCGCAAGCGCGCGGACAGTGTAGCTTGCATGTCAGCGTGGGTTGTAGTACCTTTCACATGACGATTTGCGTGGTTCTTTGGGCCTTCGTCTGCCAAAAGCCCCAGGCATGGGTTGCAAATTGCAAAGCAGCTCCAAAGGCCCAGAGAACAAAAGTCGAGAGCAGAGCCAGGTTTACGCCGTAATGGAGAATCAAATGCAAAATGACATGCAACCTGAAAGATATACAAATATGTACATAGAGATTATATACAAAGGAAAACTGCCACAATGAATCAAGCCAGAGCACTGACCAGGGCAGACAAATCAAGGTGCACAAGATATGACTGTGCGCGGAGCGAACAAGCACGGGAGTCATTGCAAAATCATGGTCAACGCGCCGATAGGCAGCGTAATCTGCCAAACAAAATCAGCAGGGGCCACGTGCAGTCAAGGTGCCTTTCCACGAAGCTGCATCAGCAGCCATATTCACAACACAGCACGACATGAATAGGCACATAGCCAAGGGAAAGAAGCAGCTAAGCAGGATAATGACTGCACCTTGGGACAGAAGTTCTCAGTAAGCAGTTGAGTGGGATATTTACTGAGGAAACATGTCAGCAACCCGGGCAGGGATCAAGGATTGTCAAAGCTTGAACCCTCACTTCTCTATACTTCCAGACGAATCTACAGGGCCACATGAGCGAAATGGATTCTCTTTTCCAGCCTCTGTGGTCTGCGGTGACTTGAGACTAGGTAAAAAAACCTCAGTCTCACGTAGGGAAACATGCTCACACAGCTTACGTAAATTAGGACAAGTACAGACATGAGTGAGTGAGCGAGTGAGTGTCCACCCGAACCGCGCTCCGGCGACAAAAACAGCCCCTGCAATTTTCTGTGCCCCTCCTCATTCATCAGTCCAACGCTCCAGACCGTAGAAGGCCAAACGCCTCGCCACAAACCCAATACCCAGAGGGCTCAATACCCCTCTTTTAAGGAATATACCTTAAATACTATTAGGACATGATTTTTGGTATATTCTTCAATTGAGGGGTATTGGGCTCCCTGGGTACCAAACCAACGAGAAGGATTTCTCAAGATCATGAACGTTTGCCTTGTGGGCCGTAGCTTGCATGGATGCTTCTATTGGGGGGACCTTGACATGGGAAACAAGGAGCTGACTGCTTCACCGTGCAAATGCCAGAGTGGGATTTCTTCGCTACCACACAGATCCTCCCTTGCCTACACTGCACCTGCACATGCGCAGTTGCAAGTGGGGCGTTGGGCCACAAATTTACTTCCGGAAATTTCTATCGGGCGTACTGCAAGCAGCCATTGATTGCACTTCCCCTCTTCTTGAACAAGCAAGAGTACGTCTAAAAACCTGCTCTTCCCAAACTTGGCGTGGAACCGCGTGCAGTCCCCCTTACAAGTCGGTAGATCTGCTAAGCCTAGGTTTCGGTCATAAACTTTGCATTACGTTCAGTTTAAGCTCTAGAATCTAGAAAAAAAGCTTAGGGGAACAAGTACCTGACCTAGAGGACTGAAGGAGTTCATATCAGTACCGTTGGTTTGTGCCTTTCATGCCACAAACACAGAATGTTGAGTGCAAAGTGGAATGTGGAATGAAGAGTGGAGTGAAGAGTGGGGCGGGGAGAAAGAAAGGTGGACGGTGGAGTGTGGAGAGAGGAGTGGAGAATGGAGAGTGGAAAGTGGCGTGGGGAGTAAGTGTCGGGAGTGGAATTGAAGTGGAGTGGAGAGTGGGGAGTGCAGAAGACAGTGAGACGGGGAGCCGAGGGAGCGGGGATTGGATTGGAGTGGGGGGGGGAGCGCGGAGAGAGGAAAGTGCGGAGGGGAGTAGGAAGTGGAGGGGAAAGTGCAGAGGGTAGTGGAAAGTGGAGTCCGGGCTTGGAGTGGGGAGCGGAGCGGAGTGGAGTCGAGGGTGTGGAGTGGGGTGGAGTTGGGCAGAGACAGCTTTGAACGGCCCCTTAGCAAGGCTTTAGAGGCCCAGTAAGAGATTTCAGAGGCTCGTGGGAGAGGTTTTGGAGGCTGCTTGCACAAGCTTTAGGAAACGCTTGAGAGGCCCTCGGACAGGTTTTGACTCAGTTTTCCGAATAGTGTCGCGTGTGGCGCATGTATCCTACTAAACCCTGAAACCCTTAAGCGCTAAATGCTGAACCCCTTAACCTGAAGTAACCCTCTGTATCCTCTATATCCCCATTATATCCCCCTTTACAAGCTCCCTGAGCTGCCCGAAAGCGCTTCCTGCCCGAAGCTTGTGGCTGGCCCCCATGGCTCTGGAGTTCTTAGCGGTTGAGGGTTTCTAGTCCCCCTTAAGTAGATAGAATATGGGGTATATGGGGATCTGATTTTAATATTCTCAAAGCCATATTCTATCTACTTAAGGCGGACCACAGGGTTTAGTGGGCGATGGAGGGATTAGAGAAGGAATTCAAGAGCTAGAGACAGTAAAGGATCAAAACAGTCAACAGAGACGCCCGCACTGGTTGCGGAGAAATATGGGTATTCTGAGGCTAGGTGAACATATTGCGAAAGAGTACTGTCACCTAAACGAGATCATAGGATATTACTGTGCCATAACCTCGGCTTTCCCTATTCGGCCGCATGTGCCTGGAGAAAAAAAAACTCTGAGCCAGTCGCTCTGCAGCCTTTCATTGTGAAACCATAGAGGGTTTCGGTTGGGTACGGCCTCCAACCCAAACTAAGAGCTGTGAATTGGGCTAGTGCATAACACATAACCTTTACACCTACAACGGCGAGTGGGGAAAGGATGGCTTAGGGTGTGGAGTCGTTGACCAACGCCCGTGATCTCATACAGGCCATTGCAAGATGCAGAACACTACTTTCAGCGTTTTTGGCTTTCAGGCTTGAAGATTTTGAAGCCTCAGGGAATGTCTCAACTTGACCGAGTTCATTTGCAGGAGCGGCACCTTTGCAACTGCTTGGAACTCACCTATGCTTCAAAAACGTCCAGGGGCCGAATGAGCTATCTAGACATTCCTGCCAGCTTCGGGGGCATGGGCAGTTGCGAATCCCCAATAGCCCATGGTTTCGTGATAAACTCAGGCGATGGCCGCTGCTGCTTACATCCTCCGATGCTGAATCTGATCCCGTCTGCATCTTTGCAGATGCTCAAATCAAACATGGTCCGGCAAAAGGTCACTGGCAACACGCTAGCCCAATCAAGCCCTGAAGAATCCCAAACACTGTAAAACCCGAAACCGTAAGCCCTAAACCCTCAACTCTAAAGAGCCTCAAACCTTGCAATGCACAAGAACTTAAACAAACCATTGTGAACAAGCTCTAAAACCCTAAACCCCAAGCCTGAAATCGAACAGACGGCTTGCCAAGAACTGGATCTCCCTGGCAACAGGCAGTCTCGAAAAAGGTCTTA